AGAACTCAAAACCAGGATCCCCAGGGATTCCCCTGCCCAATTCTATGACAGGATATTCCTGAAAACTCATATTGAATCTTGGTACAGGTTTGTTTATAAAAAGGGGTTTTAAAAAACTGCTACAAAACAGAGAAGCTGCTCAAGTTATAGCTGAGACTTTTTTCAATTCTTTAAAAAAAAAAACAGCCTGATCCCCTTAAGATTAGAAACCAAAAGATCATGAGAACCACAATAAATTTCCTTGAACTATGACTGCTATTACAAATGCAGAATAAAGTTTTTACCTTTAAAAAGAGCCTCAAAGTTTTTCGATAGCTAAAATACAAACTGTAGCTATCACCCGCTTAATTTTTTTAAAAAATTCAACGTCAAGAATAAAATCTTATTAATTTTCACCACTGACATATCCGTTTAGCTGTTTATATTTCATCTTCAAGAATAAGCAAATATCTTTTCTGTTCTGCAAAACTCTTATCAAAATGTTATCAGAGTGAAGAACATAAACTCAGTACTTGAAGTTTTAAAAAATGTAGTGTCAAATATTTCCAAAATAAAGAACACACTACCTTCAGTTTCATTTTGCAAAACTACTTTAGATCCTAGAATATAACAGCAATTTTTATATTAATAAATCCTTGTTTCCTCCTCTATGAAACACCTCCAATTATTTTCTATTAGCCAAACATGTTTCTGTATATAACATTCAAAGCTCAAGAATTAAAATGGAAAGACCAAAAGTGTGGTAATTATCATTCTGCCTTACACAAAGGATGATTTTGGATAGTCAATAGATAAATGTAACATTCCATAACATACTTAAGTCAACATTTCCTGAAGTGGTGTCTAAAGGGCCTTATGAATCCTCCAGGAACCTGGGAGAGCCTCTAAAAGACTTCCCGATCATATTCCTAAGCTACCCTCCACCTCAAACACTGGTCATGAAGAAAACTATAGTTGAAATAAAGGTAACATGAATTTCAGATGCTAAAATAATGCTTGGAAAGGGGAACAGAGGAAGGTACACCAGTACCATAGTCCTAGTAGAATATTTTTTCCCCAGAAAACTAATTGATGTCTATTTTATCCTTCTAAGCAAAAACATCTACCATATAAAAAGTCAGAGCTTTTACATGGATAGTAAACTGACATTGAAATTATCTTAAGAACCAGTGAGTATCAATGTAGTAGTGGCAAGCTGATTTAAGCCCTTGTGGCATTTCTTATGTACTAATGCAATATAACTCAATAAAATTAAGATCTCTTTAAGGAAAAAAAAACTAGCCATTTTCATTACACACCTTGAATTATGGAAGGCAGAAACATAACTAATGAAAGGACTCTCCTCTATAAATCAGATATTTTAAAACTAACCCCCCCCAAAAAAATCTTTTCATGTGGAAATTTAAAACCCTCTTAAAAGTATTCAAGTTTTCAAAAGAAAAATGTATTCATGGTTTAATATAATGTTAGTATATTAATATTACCTGGGTTTTTTGCTTATTAACTCAATAATTTATTCAATTTTAAAACAATCCTCTGAATTTAAGAAGCTCAATAAAGGTTTTTTTGCGAGTCTAACTAACAAGAAAGTGTTTTTTACTCAAAAAAACAAACAAAAAAAACCCCACCCAAATTGATTTGTTCTTACTGCAGAGCAAGGATCCTAGACAGAATTTTATTTGTTATGAAGGCTTTGCTACTTACTGAAATTCTGATTCATAAGTATCATCAGACAGTTTACAAGTATCAAAAACAAAGACAGGAACTCTAACCATTGGCATATAACCTACAATTTCTAAATCAAGATTACCACTCCACTTCAAATAAAAAGCAGTTACTGGATTTGAAAGAATGAAAAATGTCAAACGTAATCTATTTGAACAAACAGCTTGATATTAACTAAAGTCTAGTACTCCTCAGCAGGTTAAATGAGAGACTAAAAAGGGGGCTCCAGGGAATTAGTCAAAGAAAATTTTTTAAATGAGTCACATGACTAAATTACATTTTACTAAATCAAAAGATTTTTTGCAAGGTTACTAACAAATTAATAAACCTTGAGTAAATTCACTGTGAGCAATACCCCAAGACTGAACATTTATAGGGTTCAATACAGAATTCTGAATTGTTCTTCAGAACTTTTTTCTTTACTTATAAAAGCGTCAAGCTAAGAGGGAAACACATGACTATTATTTGAGTGGGACATAGGAAAAGAAACTCTTGTATGCTTGTCACACAAAAAGGAAATGATGAAAATAAATTCCAATTCACCAATCAGTAAATTACTAACAGTTTCTAGAATTTGCACAAGACCCTCAACTGGACTTGCAGCCTCACATCCTTTCATGTCATACATAATAACCTGCTCCCCAAATGACAGTTTTTACAATGACCAGGGAAGAAATAGGTAAACTTAATTCGCAAATTGGCATTTCCCTCTTTCATCTATTCAATATTTTGACCAAGTAAAAAGACAGAGCTACCACTTAAAAATAAAAAACATGTTTCTAAGACGGTAACTGCATTCAAGATTAGTTCCCTTTATCATCTGAGATGTGACAAGCAATGCATAAAAAATTAAAAACTAATCTTCTCAACTATACAACATGCAAAATGTCTCCTAACAACTCTCTTCCTCTTAAAAAAAAAAAGCTGCAAATATGGTACAAGGAACAAGCCCCTCCACTGGCAGCATTTAGTTAAAAAGAGAATAGTTAAGCAGCTTGGTGACCAAGGGGCACACTCCCACCTCACAACCTCCCAAAATAACTGTACCATTTCACTAAAGCAGGAATCCAATCCCGAGGAGCCTCAGCCTTTTAGACAATGGTGGTTACCATACTGAGAGCTAAACAGTTGGGTCCAATTGACACATTTCACTAGGCCTTGGACAAGACACACACAACACACACTTTCCCAAGACATTTGGCTCCAAGGTAGGAGTATTATTAAGTCCATGCCAGGATATCAGGGCAGGCCAGAGAATAGGAGGTGAAGGGAGCTGGGGGTGGGGGTGCAGAAGGGCAGGAAACAAGGGGTATTGGAAGAAACAGCGTAGGGGTAATTGCACCAGGAGGGAGGGAGGGGGCTGGAAATGGCCGATGGTCTGTTTATTTATTTATTTTAAAGGTCTAGATTTAACGGGTCCCTTCCCTACCCCCACTCTCACACACCACCCCCCTCCCAGGGATTCTGTAACCAAAACCAAACTGCGCAGCAAACATTGTGGGGCTGGAAGAACCATGACTCCCCCCCACCCCACCCCACTCCCCACCCCGTGACTACTGAGCGAAGCGGGGCTGGAGGGGTAAAAACAAGTTCCCGGGCCAACACCTCCAGCCACTCGGATCCCCCGATCCCCACGAAGACTGGAGGCTCGCTAACCCGGTTAAGAAAAGAGGGGAGGGAGAACAAATTCCTCACCCAACACCGGCAATTCCATTCCCCTTTCCTTCTTCCCCAGTCTCCATCGGAAGGGGAAGAGCCTAACCCTAGGACGAGTAAGGAGGGAGAACACGGCGAGCCCACCCCCCCCACCCCCGGACTCCCTCTGGGGTCCGGGGACGGGGGAAGAGGGGGGGTGTGCCGAGCCCCCGAAACCAAACAAAGCGCGGCCTGAACGCGAGCCAAGGCGAGTGGGGAAGCCGGGGCTTTTCCTGGCGACAGGGGCCCAGGCCGGGCACTGCGGCAGCGGGGAGACCCGCCTCGGCGGGGCTCCTTCTCCGATAACCCCCGGACTCCCCCCACCCTCCGGGACCCGGAGCCAGAGAGCCGCGGCCCCCTCCCCCCTCCGCCGCCTCGGCCGGGGCCGGGAGCAGGAGAGAGGAGGAGGGGGCCGAGGAGGCCGCAGCCTTACCCCGCTCCCCGGCGTTGTTCCTCTCCTGAGGCGGCGGAGGCGGCGGTGGCGGCGGCGGAGGCTGCTGCTGCTGCTGGGGCTGGGGCTGCTGCGGCGGCGGCGGCGGAGGTGGCGGCTGGGGCTGGGGCTGCTGCTGCTGCTGCTGCAGTTGGGGCTGGGGCTGCTGCTGGGGAGGCGGCGGCGGCGGCGGCTGCTGCTGCTGCTGTTGTTGTTGCACCGGGCGCGGCCTCGACACTCGCCTGGGTCTCCGGTTGGCGGCTCGGACGGAGTTCATTTGCCGGGCTGAGGTGGCGGCGTTGGCGGAGGGACACACACACACACCCCACACCCGAGGATTTGGGGGAGAAGGGGGGAGGGAAGGGGAAGGAGAGGAGAGGGGGGTGAGGGAGAGGCACCGAGACACAGGGGCGGGGGGAAGGGGGTCCCCGAGGAGACCCAGAGGCCCCGGGGACGAGAGCGGCACAGGAGGCCGGGGCGGCGGGCCGACGCACCGCCGGGAGAGAGAGGAGGCCGAAAGGCGAGGGAGGGGCGAGGGCGGCGAGCAGCCGAGGCCGAGGCCGGGGCCGGGGCCGAGGGAGAGAGAGAGAGAGAGAGAGAGAGAGAGAGAGAGAAAGGACGGCCGCCCGCCCGCTCGGGGATCCCGAGGAGAATCGCGACCCCGATCCCGGTCCCGCCGTCTCCCGAGCACGGTCTCCGGCGGCAGCGGCGGCGGCTGGGGGGAGTGGGCGGGCGGGTGAGGAGGGGAGAAGGAGGAGAAGAGAGCGAGCGGGAGGGAGGGAGCAGGGAGGGAGGGAGCAGGGGGCGCCGGGCTCCTGTTTTTTTCTTCCTCTGCTACCCCCCCACACCCCCTCAAAGAGATTTCTGTGAGGAATCTTTTTCTCCTCTCCTCGGCCTCCTCTCTCTCCTCCCCCCCTCTCTCTCCTCACCGAAGGGGAAACGAGGGTGAAGGGAGGAGACCGGGGGGGGAAAAAAAAGAAAAAAAAAGAGGCGTAGTCGTTCCTCCTCCTTAAAGGAGCCTTTCCTCGGGGTCCTCCTCCTCCTCCGCCTCCGCCGCCGCCGCCGCCGCCGCCGCCTCCTCCTCCTCCGCCTCCTGCTCAGCCCCGTCGCTGCCGCCGCCGCTGCTGCTGCTGCTGCTGTGGCTGCTGGTGCCGCCGCCGCCGATGATGATGATGATGATGATGATGATGATGATGCTGCTGCTGCTGCTGCTGCCGACGCTGCTGCTGCTCCGTGGCAGGAGGAGCCATTGACACCGCCGTAGACACCACACGCTCAAGTCAGTCACTCACCACAGCGGGGCGGGGGAGGGCCCGGCAGCCTCCGCCGCCGGAGCTGAGCAATCGAGAGACGGGGCAGGGGAGGAGAGGGGAGGGGCTTCCAACTGGACGGCCAATGGAAGGTGCCGGAACAGAGGCATCCCGGCGCCGGGGCCAATAACAGCTCGTCTCTTATCAAGGAGCCGACCCTCAGTCTGCTCCCCTAGTCCCCGCCTGGATCCTCAGACGGAGGGGAAGGGAGGGAGCCTAGGGTAAAGGGGAGGTATCGCGGTATTTATATAACGTGTGGAGGGTGGGGGGGCGCTCCTGTGCGGAGTCGGGGTTCGAGGGAAGAAGGAGTGCGAGGAGGGGAGGAAAGGGCGGGGGCTGCTGATGTAATAGGAAGAAGTGATTAATCCATTCATTTACAGTATCAGCCTCCCCCATTTTTTTTTCCTTCCAGTAATGAAGAGGTGGCGCGAGAGCGGACCTTGGGGTGACTTGAGTCTGATGTAGGTTCGGAGAGTGATCTGTAGGGTGCGCAACAGCCTGTGTGCCCTTTAGCTAGCCGGAGGTTGTTTGCAAACGGAGAACTGGGCAGCCTCCTAAATGGGAGGAGAGTGGTGGTCACTTTCCAGTCATCGCCTTCCATTTTTCCCTCCCCCCACCCAAAAAAAAAACACCTCACATCAATCGATAAAGTACTGCCTAGGTTAGAAATGCTGAGTGACGTACTAGGAGAGACAGTCTATGTATGTGTATAAACCTACCCAAAGGAAGAAGAGTAGGTAAAATGTGGAAACGATGTGCCTTGATCTTTGCAAGTATTTATGTTTAAGTAGCTTTAGGCCCCCATTCCCCCTCACAATCTTTCTTGAGAAAAATATATTTATATTCTCTACCTGAATTTACTTACTGAGATAGGAAGTATATTTTTCCTCTCTCCTGCCTCATATCCTGTTTTTCCTTTCCTTTTTTGTTATGGTCATTGTATGTTGGATATCTTAGGCTCACTTTATCTAAGTCTCAGATTTTCAGACCTTTGTGTATTTCCCTCATCTCTGTGAGCTTTATAAATCACTGCTTTGCCTTGCTGGTTAGGCCAGAGGTGGCTTAGGCCGGGCAAAGAGCAGAGATTTTTTTTTAAGTACTGTTTTTAGCTGTCCATTTGAGAAATGCAATTTAAGTCCCTCACACATTTTAGTCCGAAAATGGAGAGATGAGAAGAGAAACTTTTCCGACTCATGCCTAAAAAAAAAAAAAGTTGAACAAAAGAAACTTAAGTACCAAACGAAACAGTTAACATTTGTTAGTTACATGGAAGGCAATAACCAGTGAAATAATAGCTAGAGGAGATAGGGAGGAGTAAGAGCTGATCCAATAGAGTTTAAGGATAAAAGAAAATTAAAACAAAATCACATATTATTCCATAATCTCTTCAAATTATTAATCAGTCCCTGTGATTTTTTTAATTTCACCATTTCATAATTTCAGTCAACAATTATTGAGTGCCTAGGATATGTTCAGAAGGGGTTATATAAAAGAAAGAAAACTAGGGGTCTAGTTTATCTTTCATTGCTATCAGAAAGATAGTCAACAGGCATTTATTGATAATTTGGTATATACCAGGCACTATATCATCAAATCTTCAAGTCTCCTTTATTTTCAAAACCACCACTGTTTTAGAAACATAGACAGAGCTAGCAGGTACTGACCCAATTCATTTTACAGATGAGAAAATTGATATGAAAGAAATGAAGTGACTTGCCCAAAGTCACATCCATTAAACCATGAGCATCTTGAAGACTGTCTTTTGCCTCTTAGTATCATCAGAGTGCTGGCCCAGTGAGCTGGCACATACTAGTCCCTTAATAAATGTTTCTTGATAGTGGCCAACCCAGAAAGAGGACCCAAGTCTCTTGCTTCCCAGTTTACTGCCCTTTTGATTTGTGGATGCCATGGAGTTTTGATGTCTTCTATCATTAAGTGGAAAAAAACATCCTGAAGGCCTTAGAATAATAGACTAGTGGTCATTCATTAATAACAACGAGAATTTGGTACTATGTAAAAAGTATCATGTTCTTCGCTATGTGAGAAGATACAATGAAACAGTCTAATAGGATCAATGAGAGAGATATACAAAGATCTACAACATAAGAAAGCATGTGAAAAATGTCATTAGAGAAAAAATGAAATCAAAAGTTTTTGGAGTCCAGAGGTAGGAGAGAGAACTTCTAATATGGTTCATTCACATGAGAAGTTGACTCTGGCTATGGAAGTTTTATTATGACTCCGGTTATGGAATTTTCATCATGACTTATAATAAATTAACTCATATTTACATAATACTTCAAGTTGTATAATGTTCTTTTCCTGTAAGACCAAAGTCTTATGAGCCACTGGAGCTTAAAACTGCACTGAGACTTTTGGGACACCAGGTATTTAGGAGAAAAGGGCCCCCAAAACCATGTTTGTATGTGCTTAGCGTAATTTCAAAAGACAGAATTCACTTGGAGTTCGTTTTGTCTTTAAGAACAAGTTTGTGCTTGTTTTACTTAAGTACTTACTAGTGGTTAGTGTGTTAGAGTGCATTAAGTTATTTGTTTCTAGAATCAGTCACAATAAAAAGGTACAAAATAAACTCTTTAATCAATGAAGGAGCCAAGCAACTGTGATCTTTAAATTATACTCTTCCTATTTCATAAATCTTCCTCTAAAAGTTCACTCTCCAAACTTAGTCCCAAACTTTCACAATTCAGATAGAATATTGCATAAATATAATGTATGAATATAATATTTCACAGCTGCTTATCATGTTAAATTTCATTTAGAGAGTTAGTTTGGTTTAAGCAATTTTCCTTAAGGAAAACTAGCTCTGTTTAAAATGTCCTGGTTAAAGTATAAAAGACATCTCATTAAATGACAAAAATTCACCCTTCAGATATCACACCCAACTTAAATTCTATAAATTAGATAGTAAAACTAAACTTGGAAACAACTTTTATTTAATGTATCTGTGTAGAAATCAGCACAGAATTCAAAGATGCCCATACTAGATATAATTTTTTTATACCTTACTGCAGCTATGATCTCATCAATGTGGGTTTTCTCTCCACCAAAACAGATTACAATCCATCCAGATTTTCTTAGCCCATGTAATTCTTGTCCACGTTTTCCCATTAATCTTCCAAAGAAGATCTGCCCAATATGGTAGAGGCCTTCCTCTGGGTCTTTTTACATTTCATGAGTACTGACTGGTATGGCACTGGAGATACCTCCTTTTCTGAACATTCATTTTCTAGGTCTAGCCATTACCTGACTTCTTATATGTTGGTAGTCACTGGCAATCACAGAACGTTGAAAAAGACCTCAGCAGCATCTGGTCCAATGCACATACAAAAAGGAATCTTTTTCATAGACCTCCATTGAACTTGGAGTGAGGTATGCGTGCTGCCCAGAAGACATTATCCATGTCACTGAGAAAAATGTTAGCTAGCATTCAGCCCACTGTAGATCCTTGGGTCACTTGACTAAAGAACATATTTCACTTTGACTTCCTAATGTCTATTCTTTTATTCTACTATTCAACCAATTCTGGATCCATGTAACGGTAGCATAGTCTAGCCCACAATACTCCATCTTTTTCTATATGTTTGTACAGTGATATCTGACTCTTCATGACCCCATGCACCATAGTACACTAGGCCCTTCTAACTCCTGAAGTCTGTCCAAGCTTCCAGTGTCATATCTTTCAACATTTTAATACTGTGTATGCAATTTTCTAGGCAAAGATACTGGAGTAGTTCACCATTTCCTTCTCCATCTTTTTTCCATGCGGATGCATAATTTATTTTATCAAACATTTTGCTAAAAATCCTACTAAAGGGAATGTTCCTTCACAATATGCTGGCAAATAATAATAAACTACCGTTTATTTATATGGTGCTTACTATGTACCAGGCATCGTGCTAAGTGCTTTACAATTATTACCTCATTTGATCCTCACAACAACTCAATGGGATAGGTACTATTATTATCTCCATTTTACAGATGAGGAAACTGAGGCAAACAGATTAATTAATTTACCCAAGGTCCCACAGCTAGTAAGAATCTGAGATCAGATTTGAGTTCAGATCTTCCTGACTTCAGGCCCAGGTGTAGCCAGAGGGCTACCTAGCTGAATCACATCTGGCCCACATCCTGTGCTTGCCTACAAAACTTAGTGTAGCACACTGGACAAATGATCACACAATCTTTGCTTGAAGATCTCTATTGAAGGGGAGCCTACTACTTCCTGAGGCAGCCCATCTCAGGTAGTCAAGAATTTTTTGTAACATCAAATCTAAATTTGGCTCTTTGCTCTTGGTTCTGCCCTCTAAAATCAAACATATCAAGGCTGTATGTGAACCAATACAAAGTGAAATGAGCAGAACCAGGAGAACATTGTACACAGTAATGGCAATGTTGTCAACTATGAATGACCTAGCTATTCTCAGCAGTACAGTGATCCAAGACAATCCTAAAGGACTCATGATAAAAAATTCTGTCTGCCTGAAGAGAAAGAACTGATGTCTGAAAACTGACTGAAGCATACTATTTCTCTCTCTATCTCTCTGTCTCTGTCTCCCTCTCTCATTCATCTTCTTACACAAAATGACTAATATGGAAAGGTTTTATATGATTACACATGTATAACCTATGTCAGATTGCTTACTATCTCAGGGAGGGGGAGAAGAGGGAAGGAGAAACGGAATTTGGAACTTAAAACTTAAGTCAATGAATGCTGAAAATTGTTTTTACGTGTAATTGGGGGAATATATTATTAAAAATAATAAGATAAAAAAACCTTTGATCTTTCTTCCAGGTGAAAGTTTTTCAAATACTTGAAGATAGCCATTATGTCACCTTTGACTTTACTCTTCTTCAGACATATATCACAGTACCTTCAATTGATTTGTAAGTGACATGGACTCTAGACCCTTCATTATCCCGGTTGCTCTCCTTTGGATGTTGTCCAGTTTATCAGTGTCCCTTTTAAAATTTGATACCTGGAGCAAAACTTAATACCCCAGATGTCGCCTGACCAGGGCAGAGTACAGTGGGACTATTATCTTCTTATTCTGGGAACATATGCCTGTTTTACAACCCAAAATTGCATTACCTTTTTTGGATGTCATTTCACACTCCTGACTCAGACAGCTTATAGTCTCCTAAAGCAGAGGTGTCAAACAGGAGCCCCATGAGCCCATGTGGCCCACAATACTCTCAAGTGCAACTTTTCCAGATTAAAATGTAATTGGGAAATACTTTAAAAAATATACAATAGAATATAGATAATGCTAATATGTGGTTTTATAAGTCGACATGCAACCCACTGGGATCCTTATATTCAGTTTAATAGCCCTTATTTCTATTTGAGTTTGAGACTACTGCTCCAAAGCCCCCAGATGTATTTCATATGAACTACACTGTCATTATAATTTCCCTTTATTGTACCTGTAAAGTTAATTTCATGGATCCAAATGTCATGCTACATTAATCCTTATTAAATTTCATCATATTAGGCCCAAACCAATTTCTTAGTCTATTGACATCTTTCTGTAGCCTGTCTTTCAGTATATTAACTATCCCTCCTAGTTTTGTATCATCTTCAAATATGATAAAAATCATAATATTCACCTTTATTCAAATCATGGATCTAAAATGTTGACTAATACAAACCCAATACACTCATTTCTTCCAAGTTATAATATGGTCTAGCCAGCATGACTCCATCTTTTCTACATGGATAGCATGCTAATTCGGCTTTGCTAAAATTGAGGTAAACTATATCTACTTCATTATTCTGATCTACCAGTGTAGTAACCCTGTCAAAAAAGGAAATAGGATTGATCTAGCATGACCTGTTCTTGAAGAAGTCATGCTGGTTACTTATGATCAGTACTCCTTTTCTAGATGATCACTGACCATCTCTAATAATGCATTCTAGAATTTTGTCAGGCATCAAAGTCAGGCTAACTGAGCTTTGAAGATTCTATTTTTCTTCCCCCCTCCCTTAAAAAAATTCGGGACATTTGTCCTTTTCTAGTCCCTCTGATACTTCTTTTAAAAAAGTTTTTTTTTTTGCTATTTTTTGGGGGGGGGGGCTAGGCAATGGGGTTAAGTGACTTGCCCAGGGTCACACACCGAGTAAGTGTTATATGTCTGAGCCGGATTTGAACTAAGGTCCTCCTGAATCCAGGACCAGTGTTCTACCCACTGCACCACCTAGCTGCCCCTCTGATACATCTTGTTCACAATCTTTCATCAGTCACCGAGAGTGCTTCAACCATCACGTGGGTCAGTTCTTTCTGTACCAGACGATGTTTCAGGAGGTTTAAATCCATCAAGGACTGCTACAAGTGTTCTCTCTTTTTAAAAATTCATTTGTTTATTTATTTTTAGTTTTCAACATTTGCTTTCATAAGATTTTGAGTTCTAAATCCCCTCCCTTTCCCAAGACAGTATGCAGTCTGATATAGGCTACAGATGTATGATCGTATTAAACATATTTCCATGTTAGTCATGTTGTGAAAGAAGAATCAGAACAAAGGGGAAAAACCATGAGAAAGAATAAAACAAAAGAAAGAGAAAATAGTATACTTCGATCTGCATTCAGACTTCATAGTTTTTCTCTAGATGTGCATAGCATTTTCCATCATGAGTCTTTTGGAATTGTCTTAGATCATTGCGTTGCTCAGAAGAGCTAAGTCTGACAAAGTTGGTCATCGAACAATGTTGTTGTTACTGTGTTCTAGTTTTGCTCTACAAATGTTCTCTTGTTATCCTTGTTGTCCAATGCAGACCAAGCAATGACTGTATTGCTTCTTTGATACTTATTCCCCCAATGAAGCAAAAATAAACAAAACTGGTTTTGTTGCCCTCAGCTTATCAGCCTCAGTTCATTCTGAGCTTTAGTAGTATTCAACATAATTCTTACAAGACTGTACTATAATGTTTTAATTCATTCTCTCTTATCTTCCCTCAATTCTATCTCCTGTACATATCCTTTTAACATTTAAGTTATTTGGTCAGTTGTTTGTGCATTGATGTCTGTATATTCTGACATCTCCCAGTTCTCCTCCTCATCAGAATTGTTTTATTTTACGTCTTCAGCATTTCTTGAGAGTTTCCCATCTCTTCTCAGCAGTCTTCCCTTATAGAATTTCAGTCAATGGGAGCCTGCTCATCCTTATTCTGAATGCCTTGAAATCTCTCCTAAAATCTAGAGTGCATGTCAGACTACACTCAACTCTCCTTGCCTTTCCTGTCACAAACTCTAGGAAGTAATAGTCGCCATCATTTCTCTCCTGTTGGTGAGAATCAGGTGCAGAAAAGAATTCCCTCTTGTTGGTTCCTCCATCTTTGGAAGAAAGGAATTATCATTTAAGTAAGATAAGAAGATTGCTGGTCTGCTTTTGGCAGAGGAAGAGCTCCAAAAATATCTGGATAATTGAAATCCCCTATCAGTAATATATTATGCCCCTGAGTTAGGCTTATGATCTCTTAACCAAACTCTTCATATATTTCTTCTTTTTTTTTTCTTTCGGTTTATCTGTAGCATACTCTAATTACAAAATTGCTTCTATTTGTCCCTCCATTTATCTTTATCCAAATACTCTCACCAAGCTTCTGCCTTCTGGTTTCTAAATTTCCTTATATGAGTATATCTTCATAAAACACAGTGCTACCCTATTATCATTTTAATATATCATGTATATATTGTATATTTAAATTTTAATATATAGAGCTCTGCCATCTTCTTCCTTTTGAATGAGTTATGCCTATCCAGTTCCACATTTCAGTTATGGGTACCATGTCTTAGTGATGTCTGATGTCAGATTTCATTTTTCTGTGTTAGGACTCTAGCTCATCTTGCTTATTGCATATACTTTAGGCATTTGTGTATAGACATTTGAGCACAAGGGTTTTACTACTAACTCCTTTCTTGCATAAAACGCAACACACTTACCCCCACCATATACTTTTTTCTACAACATGGAGGTTCCAGGAGAAACTGACCAATAGGAGAAGGGGGTTGTAAGAGTGGAGAGATGTTCTGAGGTGAGAAAGTCTCTTGCATTTTTCTCTTTAATGAGGTAGCATTGCTTGTAACCTTCTGCTATACTCTTTCACTTCATTTTACAAATGAATTTGTGCTCCATACTAGTATTACCATCTGTCTATCATGTCTCTGGTCAAGGACATTAAATGACAGTTAGCTAAGCCAATTTCTGGTTTCTTCTGGTCTCTTTGTTTTGGCAACTGCTTTATATCGCTTTAACTTCTGGTGATAATCTGAGTCAATGTTTTTTATTCTTCCCTCCTCTCCTCCCCCTTTAACCCACTCCTCCAGTTAACTAATTGCTTACTTAAAGGATTGGGTTGGAGCTGTTGTAATTTCACTTAGGGTTGCCCTTTCATCTTTACTTTTTCTTCTCTTTGGCTTTTGTTTTTTACCTTTTCTGTAAGTAGATGGTCTAATTGCATGCAGAATGATGATTCAAAAATGACTCCCACCATCAGGAACCAATTATTTCCTGTCCATTAAGAGAAAGTTATTTTCACATTTTATAATGATGTTGTTTTCTCTACATAAAGAGTGATTTTCAACTCTTTTCATGAAGAAAATATTAATTATATAGAAGCATGGAACAATTCTAATGCGAAGGAAAGGAGAAAGATGTTTTGTAACCTGTGATCTGAAACTTCAGGTTTAGAGTTAACAAAAGATAAAGCTCAATCTGGGAATATTCTCACAGAAATTTCTTTTTCTGGGTCATTTTACACTCACCCAGGATTTCCCCTAGAAACTTTAGAATATTGGGCTGGTGTCTAGGTCTGCACAACAGGAGGAAAAGGACTCCTCTGGCCCTTGCGAAGATTTATCAAAACACTGAATATGGGTCAGCCTTTATTCAACCTGAGAAAAAAATACAGAGGAGATGCACTTGAGGCCAAAAATTAGCCTCACCTCCTAACGGACCTTTTGGAATCCTCTAGACTGTACTACTCTGGGCTGGCCTCTGCTAATAAGGAAAAGAACTTAGGGTTGCTGTAAAAATCAAGCAATTCACTCCAGGGTAGCACTATGTCTGGAAAACTACATTGGTTCCTGGACAGTGAGGCTAACTGTAGGGATAAGTTGCTTTACTCTCTAGTGACTCCAAGTTCCTTTCCTTTGTTGGATAGGGCACACGGGGCAATACTTTATGCCTAGATGATTATATTTGCCTGGGTAGAACATGACTACAAGGAGAAAGAACTCAGAGTTGTTCAAGTCAGCCCCTATTTTGGAAAAGTATCACCCAAACTGGCCTACTGGTGGTTTAGGTTCAGTATTGCAATGAAATGAAACATTTGTAGGAGACCTGATAGTTAACAAAAGGAGATTTATTTAGCCATAGAAGAGAAAGCATATTTAGCAAGAATACTTTGTAGATTCAGTAGAGAGCAACTTCCCTGCCTTTATATTGCTCCTGAGAATGCACCAGTGAAGCAGTGGGGTGGGGGGGGGTTATTCAAGTGACCAGGAAGTGACCTCAATAACCTGAACCTCAGTTTATTGAGCCAATTAAGTTTCAATAATAATTTCAATACCTTTTCAGGAAAAGAGCTAGCATAGGCCATATAGTGGGGGACCATGGTGGATATTCCTCTTACCACAACCCCCTTGCCTGGACCAACACAATTCACATAACAAACAGTACCAGTGAACCACAAGGTTCAGATTCATTGTCCTTTGTTGATGCTGAATTCTGGTTCCTGCTTGGTCCAGGAACTCCTCCATGTCACTTGTTTCAATAAATCTTTTGTTGTTTTGCTTTCTGCTATAATGCTTAATGTTTTTGTCAGCAACTTAAATTTAGACACAGATGGAAGCTTATCCACTCTGCAGGTGATGCAAAGCTGGGAAAGAGAGTTAACATACTGGATGACTGACAGGAGCCAAAAGGCTCTTGACAAATTAAGATTTGTGCTGAATATAATGAGATGAAATTCAGTAGGGATAAATGTAAAGTCTTGCACTTGGGCTTAAAAAATCAACTTGACAAACATAAAAAGAGAAGGCATGACTAATCAGCCATTCATCTGATGATGATCTTGGAGGTTTTAGTGGAATACAAGTTAAAGATGAGTCAGCAGTGTAGTATGATAGCCAAAAAGCTAATGTAACCTTAGGCTACATAAAGAGAGGCATGGTGTCAGAATTAGGAAGGTGATTGATCCACTATCCTCTATTCTAATCATACCATGTCTGGAATATTGTATTCCATTTCTATGATTGGACCATTACCTACCAGTGTTTGTCCACAACATAAGTTAGGCCCAGACCTTCTCCTTCCCCTTTCACCCACTCTCTACCCCCAAACAGGGACTAGTTTTCACCATACTCTGCCCTGCTGAGCAGATTAGTTTCCATAATATTCTATGGAGGACCTATCTACAAAAGCTAAAGCTAAATACTACTGTATCCTTGCTGGTGTCTTTTCTATGCTATAGCTAAACAAACCCTCACCACCACCCCCGCCGCCTTATCTTCATGTGTGTCTCATTTCATCCCAATTTTAAATCTGAAGTAACAGTGAGCTGGTGTCAGGCCCACCCCTAACAAATTCTGACCCACCACAATTTAAAAAGAATGTCAATAAACTCAGAGGCAATGAATAATAATAGCTATAATAGCTAGCATTTGAGCTTTATGGTTTGCAAAGCAATTTACAAATATCTCAGTTGATCCTCTGGGAGGTAGATACTATTATCTCCATTTTACAGAAGAGGAAACTAAGGCAGACAGAGGTTAATTGAATTGCCCAGGCTCACACTAATAATTGAGGTCAAATTTGAACTCAGTTCCTAATGGAACTACCCCTGTCATATATAAAATTCAGGAAACTCAAAGGCACTTTCTTAGAATAGTAGTTTAAGTGTGACCTGGTCAAAGTAAATTCACTCTACTTAAAACCCAGGATAGGGTGGGATAGATTTCTTTTGGTTTTATTTTATTATCACAAGTTTTTCTTAACCAGAACCAAATTACAAAATATAAGGTATTTATAAGAATTAGAAGGAAAACAGTCCTAAACAGCTATTTTCTTATTTAAATTATTTTTGTTATTAAGAGATAAAAACATAAAAGAGGTAGGTGACTGAAATGACCAAATGAAAACAAAGGTGACATATGAGTTGCCCGAGCAACCCCAGCAGTTGTTGAAGGCCATAGAAAGAAGAGAAGGGGCAACAGGAGACTGGAAATGGATTCTTTTGTGAAATTTTCCTTATATGTTCAGAATTTGAACTTTAGCTTTTTGTTGTTGTTCAGTCATTTTAGTTGCATCCAACTCTTTGTGACCTCTTTTGGGGTTTTCTTAGCAAAGGTAATAGAGTGTTTTGCCATTTACTTCTCCAGCTGATGTTATAGCTGAGGAAACTGAGGCAAACAGGGATAAGCGACTTAGCTAGCGTAATACCACTAGTAAGTGTCTGAGGCCAGATTTGAACTCAGGAAGATGAGGCTTCCTGACTTCAGGTCCAGGGCTCTATCCATTCTGCAACATAGCTGCCCGAACTTTAACTACCTTTGGGTTTTTGTGTTTCTTGGATTTTGGAGTGGCAATGGTATAGTGAATAGAGTACTGTACTTGTCAGTAAGACTGGGTTTTGATAGATTTACTCAGAAGCTTAATAGCTATATTACTTTGGGCTTCAGTTTTCTCAGCTGTAAAAGGAGGGGGCTGGACTCAAAGACTTCAAAGGTCCTTTCCTTACATACAGTATCTTGTATTCCATGAGAGATATTAAAAAGTTCTAGTTTGTGTGAATAATGTTACAGTGTTTGTCTTCTTATGTAGCTGCTTCCTGACATTTTGGTTAAGCACCAAGACATTCCTTAGATGTGCCTTTTTATTCAACAGAAGAAAAAGTATTACCACTCAATCTTTAAGAAAACCTCTGTAGGTTTTGTTTTTTCCCTTTTTTTGGAAGAATGTCTGTTATCTCAGATATCTCTGTTCTACAATTGTTTTTCTGTCCTCAGCCATCACATAACCTTCACCACCTTCCCCTTCCTTCTGCATTCTGAGCAGTAGGATTGGAAGGAGAGCCCTTGAAAAGTGGATGTTTCATTGTATCTAGAAAATAAAGGGATAGGGAAAACATGATATCCAAAGTGTTCTTTTAAAATATTTTAAAATCCAGTTGATTATTTTTTGATGATTACCTGAGTTATAAACCATCAATGAAATTCTCTGGCACTGTGGTATTTATGAGGGTTAGGAGTGGATCCCCAAGTTCTACTATGTGTTAAATCATATCATCTATTTTGGATCTCCTAGCCATATCTAAATTTACTTGAGCCAGCTTATATTGATTCAGGACAGTCAATTGTTAAATTTTCAGTATGAGCATTTACACCTCAGAAATCAGCAAACACTACAAATCAGGGCTTGATTTATTGTTTTGTTGATTTTTAGACTTAAGAAAGTGATGGAGAAAACATTAACAATACAGATTAAACTGAAAAGTGGATCCTGCATTCATTTTTTCCCCGGAGAGCCAGTTGTTAATCATTTATCAGCATAGCCCTGCAAAATGTATTGGTTTTAACTGCATATGAAATCAGTACTAGATGCATTTTAGTTCTATGTTCAATATGATATTGGATAACTAGAAGGGAAAGGAAATTTAGAATATCATTCCAAAGTAAGGAATTAGATGGGAAATATAAATGAAGGGAAGCATGGGAAGTCAATCCCCAAACCACTCTAGTACCATTCTTTTCCCACTTCAGACCAGCCTCTGACAGTGGAAATACATACTTATGAAAATAAAAAAATAGAAAACTGATCTTTTAAGATAACTAAATAGCTTCCCCCTTCCCCTCTTTTACTACTCACCAAGGAACACAAATGGGAAAAGTTAATTAAGCATTTTCAAACAAACAGCAACAGATCAAATACTCTTTAAAGTAATAATAGCCCTAGTTAAAAACCCTTAGTTAAAAACCAGACAATTAAGTGATACTCATCAAAGGCAGATAGCTTTTAGCATTTGCTTAGTTTTTTTTTTTAAGCAGGCTACTGTATGGGGTAGAGATCTCATCTTATCCTGAAGGGAAGAAACAGTCACTCTTTCTATAGACTACATTTAAAGAGCCAAACCACCCCCATGGGCCAGGAATCTCTCAGGGAGATCTACTTTAAACAATGATAAATTATTGTTTTTCTGTTTCAGAAATGTGATTTTAAAATGCTTTGTGCCATTATTATTAAATGTGAATTTAAAATTTTATTTACTCTTCTTGTCCAGACACTGTAAGGAAAAAGGCAGGTTGGTGATGCAAGGGATACTCTAAAACCAGGGTTAAATAAAGGAAGCTATACCAGTAACCTCTGCAATACTTAAAGTCCCTAATCAATTTCCTCTTAGTTGGCCCTATGCTTCTCTGAGTCTGTTGTGAGCTTGCAGATCTTATCTAATGTGACCCTAATGCCAAAGCCATTGGTATGGAACTCTCTCTTCATTGGTGGAGATGAATGCCCTGCCTGCATCAGGGGTGGGGCGGAGTTAGTGAGATCACAAGAGAGGAGAGCTTTTCAGTTCTTTTCAAGCTTCAAGTCTCTTCCAGAACTTTTCAAGACTTCTCTGAGTTTTCTAGGAGTCACTGAGTCTCTTTGGACTTGAAGTGCTTCTGGCTTCCAGCTTCAAGAGAGAAGATGGATGATGCCCACTCACCTTCAGGTTTAAGAAGAAGCCTCTGGGAAGAAGTTGACATGAGAAGAGCCGGCAGTCTTTATCATATCTCTATCACTAGCTTGCTACATTAGTGACTTCAGAGAGCTTCCTTCTGGGTAAGATTGAGGACTTGCTCTCTTGGTTGAGCTGAGTTACCTGTTCCCAATCAGAAAGTCCCTTCACTCTGTATTCTCTGGTATATATTCTCCTATGTATACTTTCTCTGATTTCTCTTTTGCTACCAATTTGGACAAATGGATTTCTTAGCTAATTTTTGGGCAGCTAGGTGGCTCAATGGATAGTGTTCTGGGCCTGGAGTCAGGAAAACTCACCTTGCTGAGTTCAAATCTGGCCTCAGACACTTACTAGCTGTGTGACCCTGGGCAAGTCACTTTATCCTGCCTCATCTGTAAAATGAGTTGGAGAAGGAAATGGCAAACCACTGCAATATCTTTGCCAAGAAAACCCCAAATGGGGTCACAGAGTCTAACATAACTGAAAAATGACTGAACAACAACAAAAGCTAATTGTTATGGGTATGTTCATTGTGAAACTAGCATTAGGTGGGAAGTGAAGCCTTGGATATAAAGCTTGGGGTCCTGCTTCCCCCAGTAATGAAACAGTGATCAGAAGTTAGCTTGAACCTGAAAATCATATCCCACAGATGCATAATATTTAAGGGAACAGATGGATGTAATTCTAGCCTGGTACTCCCCCCTCTCTCTCCGAGGAGAGCAGAGTAGCAGCCTCTGGCCCCAACTCCCTGCTTTCCCTCCTTGGGAATTAAAGTCTGCCTTGGAGAAGGATGGGGGGGAAAGAGACTAGAGAAGTCTATTTTGCCTCCCTTCAAACCACACAAGGAACACTTCCATGCTACATGTGGAAAATAGCCCTTGCAATGCTGATAAGATGAAATTCATAAATGCAAAGTCTTACACAGGTTCAAACAATCAACTTCACAAATATGAAATAAGCTAGATCGATGGTGTCAAACTCAAAAACAAACTCAATTGGGGCCACTAATCCATGTATAAGGATCCTTGCAGGCTGCATATTGATTCAGCTTTTAAAATGTAGTATTTTCTATATTCTAAGATATTTTTGTTTATTTTGTTAAATATTACATTTTAATCTGGCTCCAGGCTGCACTAGGGAGTGTTGCAGGCCACAGCCACCAAGGGTGCGTTTGTTTGACACTTCTACCCTAGATAACACTTCTTCTGATCAAAGATCTGGGGATGTGACCTAGAGAAGTTTGCTGTGGGGCTACTTTAGTTGTACTAGCAAATAAGTGGAACTCAAAGCTATAACTACGCTGGCTACCCTCAAACCTCATATTCACAATGAGCACTTAGACATTGTAGCCTTCACTGATGCCCCATGGGTTTTCATGAATAAGGCTAGGGGAATGGATTAATTCTTAAAAATAATACAATATTCTTGGCTGTTGGATCTCCAATCTGCTCTTTTCTCAGTAATAATGACAATAGCTAGCATACATATAGCGCTTACAGGTTTACAAAGCTCTTTACAAATATTAGCTTTTGATACCCTATTTTATAGATAAAGATACTGAGGTAGAGAAGTTAAGTGATTTAGCTAGGGTCATACAGCTAGTAAGTGTCTGAGGCTGGATTTGAAGTCTTCCTGACTCCAGGTAGAAAGCTCTATCCACTGTACCACCTATCCACCAAGGAATTCACTAACTTGACATGAAGACCAAATGGAGTTTACTGACAAAAAAAATCAAAGGTACCCTGCTAATGTCACTCCTGGAAGAATCTAAATTTCCAATTCCCCCCATCTTCTCTTCTATGTATACTTCTGTTTTCAGGGTTGGAATGGTGAGGGTAACAAGAGATGGATGAATGCTCCCAAGCAACATCAATCTCAGAGTCACAAGGGGCAAAGAAAACTACCAGCTCATCTTCCAGATCAGCTCATATCCCTGTAGGGAAATTGGTAGTCGTTCATTCCTGTTTGTGCCTGATATCCAAGGAAAACCTACTTTCTGATACCTTAGCCATCTAACTGTGGGAAATCTCTTGGACTTCTAACAAAAGTAGCTTCTTTCTCTGCATAGCTTCTCAATATTCTGGTGCTTCACTCCTGGAAGACAGAGACAGAGAAATGGAGAGAGACAGACAGTCAGCCGAAAAAGATTTTCTCATCCTTAAATCCTATCAGAGAGCACAACCAGTGAGACCTCTGAAAGTTGTCATTTACAACAAGCTCCCTAGGACTATTCTTTTTTTTTTTATTAGTTTATTTTTAGTTTTCAAAAATAATTTCCATAAACTTTTGAGTTTTAAGTTTTTCACTCCCTCCTTCCCCACCTCCCTCCCCAAGACAGCATGCAATCTGATGTAGGTTCTACATATGCATTCCTATTAAACCTATTTTCACATTAGTCATCTTGTAAGGAAGAATTAGGACCAATAGGAGGAACCACAAGAAAGAGGAAACAAAACATAACAGAAGAAAAAAAATAGCGAATAATATGCTTTGATCTGCATTCAACTCCATAGCTCTTTCTCTGGATGTGGATAGCATTTTCTATCATGAGGCCTTTGGAGATGTCTTAGATCCTTGTATTGCTGAGATGGGCTGTCTATCAAAGTCAGTCATCGCACAACATGATTGTTACTGTGTACAATGTTCTCCTGGTTCTGCTCACCTCAGCATCAGTCCATACAAGTCTTTCCAGGTTTTTCTGAAGTCTGCCTGCTCATCATTTCTTATAGGACAATAGTGTTCCATTACATTCATATACCACAATTTGTTCAGCCATTCCCCTATTGATGGGCATCCCCTCAATTTCTGATTCTTTGCCACCACAGAAAGAGCTGCTATAAATATTTTTGTACATATGGGTCCTTTTTGCATTTTTATGATCTCTTTGGGTCCCTAGGACTATTCTGCTCCACATTTTTGTCTCTCTTTGGTACCCAAAGGTCTGGAAAATTTAAGAGTAAAATTGGGTAGAGGCTAAAATAGAATTCTGTTTCAGATAGTCATTATATGTGGCTTCACAGTGCTTGTTAATTATTATATTTGTAGAAAATTAACAAGTTTCCTACACATACTTTAAAGAAATATTTCCTATGTAAGTATAACTGACATTTACATAGCATTCTCAGTTTTAACATTTCTATGAATCTCTTTTGTTTTATGTCACCCTTATGAACATATCCTTTCCCTTTCTTCTCTCAGAGAACTACGCATTATAACAAAGAATAATTTTTTAAAAACCAGTTTAGCAAAATTAACTAACACATTATCTAAGTCTGACATTATATGTGGTGTTTATGTCTATAGGCCCATGTCTCTTTAAAGAAGAGAGGGAAGCGTGTTCTTCTGTTGCTTTTTTGAGGCCAAGCTTGGTCATTATAATTTCATAGCATTGAGTTTAATTTTTGTTGTTTCCATTTACATTATTACAGTCTTTGTGTATATCATTTCAATGGTTCTGATTACTTCAGTTTATATCAGTTCCTATGTCTTCCCCTCATCCATATTCTCCATATTTGTCATTTCATATAGTACAATGAGATTGTTACATCATATACCACAATATCTTTAGTCATTTCCCATTTGATTGGCATTTGCTTTGCTTAAAGTTCTTTGCTACTATGAAATGGCTGCTATAAATATTTTGGTATATAGGGGATCTTTCTTTATGTCTTTGAGCTCCTGATATGTGTGTATCTGTATATATATAGATATAGATATAGATATAGATCCATATATATATATATATATATCAGCAGTGGGATCTCTAGGTTTAAAGAGTAAGGATATTTTAGTCACTTTCTTAACGTGGTTCCAAATTACTTTCCAAAATGGTTGGGCCAATTCACAGATCTACCAACAATAGTACTTTGGGTTACAACAATGAGGTAGATAATATAGATATTATTAATCTCTATTTTATAGTTGAGTAAACTAAGCCTCCAAGAGATCAAATTACTTGCCTGGGTTTAGATAGTAGATTTTAGAACTGGAATTCAAGCTCATGTCTTGTGATTATAAGTACAACCCTCTATTTACTACATATGTACATTAAACTAAAATTCCTGTCTTCAAGTTGATTTTTACTACCTAACTGGTAGAATTTAAGATGAGAATGACCAGAAGAATGAATGTTTTCAATTTACTGAGACAAGTTCAGGCTCACAGGGTGCTTCCCTTTTTTCTCCTACCTCTGACCTCTAGTAAATCTGACCCTGGCTCAATGGCCTAATTTTGATATCCTGCATTCCTGACCTTGCTTCCTATTCCTTGCATCTGCTTCTCCTTAGGTCTTGATCTCCACATTTCTGGTCCCAGTCTGGTAAGTAACCTGACCCAGAGTCCTAATTGCTCCCTTTGCTTAATGATTAAGTTTGGGGGTCTTGACTCTTGACCATACCCTGTCTCAGATTAACTGCATCATTGTGGCCAAACAGGAAGGTCTTTTCCTGATATTTGGGAACAAAAATTATTATAGGAACACATCTCCTGTAGTCAATAGTCAATAGTAATCTGGAACTAGACAGTAAGATCAGGAGTTCAATTTAAGTGAATATTAATAGGAAAATATTAAAAAGAAGATAGACAAAACATAGATGTCATTATAATAAAGCTAATGTAACATAACCTACCACCTTATCATCCTCATAAGTCTTTTCTTTTTTTAATAATAAGTCACCCTGGACTTGGGTCTTGATTGTTGGTTAGATTAAGGCTGTGCCCCTTTCTTTTTCAGTAAAGTTGAAGGTCTTTGGAGCTGAGAGAGAGAGAGACAGTGAAATGTAAGAGTAGAGGCACTTTTAGGTGTGATTGAAGCATTTCACACCTTGTAGCCTGGATATGAGACTTTTAACTCATTTATATTGGGAAGTCAGCAGAGGCAATGAACTTGCCCCCAGGGCATAGACTGAATCAACTTCTTTGCCTTAGCCTCTCATTTGCATAGGAAGGAAGAAGATTTAGGAAATGTACTGAATGGTCACTCTAAGTCAGGAGAAGTTCCTTCACTCCAGCTATGGACCAGAAAAAGAAGGTGAATAGACGAGACTATACTTCTTAACACTTCTCACTTGGGAGGTGATAAACCTCAAAGCCAAAGAAACAAAACCAAATTGGCCCTGGAGGGAGCCAGGCTAGCTTAGCAGCAGAGCAATTTATCTAGCATCCATATCACTGCCCTACAATGAACTTTGGAAAGATTCTCTACAGAGAGAAAGGATATCATGGCCCTGAACTTCCATAGAGTTGCTTTGATCATATGTATTTATACTTTGCCTTGCAGGCATAATTCCCCCATATCACCTTGAGCTTATAAAACTTAACTCAGTTCTTACATAGTATTGGTCGCACCAGCTTCATGGCCAAAAGCGGCATCATTGCCAGGTGAGTCTTTCTACTGGACTGAGATCCTAAAGTTCCTTCCCAAAGATCTTTCCATGCTCCCAGCTCCTCAGGGCATCAATGTTGCACTGGGTGTAAAATCTGGCCTGGATTTCAACTCCTGGATTCTCATGATTTGCTCTCCCAGCCTTTGAAATTCCTAAAATTGGAGTCTCCACTCCCTACACCTAGACTGGAAAAGAATGAACAAAAAAAGCCACATAAGTCCCATTTCTTGGAAGTCACTTCACTACAGAGGAGGAATGTCTTGTGACTCTTCCCCTTAAACTAAAGCATGACCTCTCACCAGATATGGTCTCACCATTAGAGTACAACTGAAGACAACAAGTAAAAAGCAGCTAGCCACAGCTGACTCAAAGCCCTTTTGAAGAAACCAATATTTCTGTCTGTAGGACCAATGGGAAAAAAAGACTTCTCTTAGCCCCATGATAGACCAACTAGAACCAGTTACAGAATGCCCATGCATGTTCCAGAATCTTCAAGGGACTTCCCTCCAGTCATCATGATTCCCCCCAGAAGCAGCTCCTTAGCATACTCCAAATGAAGATGCCATCTTAGCAAGCTGATGGGGTCTGCACAGTGCCAAACCCCAATCACTTGAGTAAATGCCTTTTATAAGTGCTAGTAAAGTCTACTAGCCAATAGATAATAGGAAATACACTATTAGAGGCAAGACATGCACATAAATAAGTTAACCTATGTTAATTGCCAAATAAGTAACAACTTTCTTAGGAGTTTAAAGGGAAGAAACATCTCTGTGGGCTGAAATAGTTAGAGAATGCTTTGTGAAGGAGTTGGAACTTGAGCTTGGCCTCAAAGAATAATAGAACTTAGATAAGTATAGAAAATGGAATATGCTATAGCATGAACAAAGGCTTGGAGGTGAGATTTGGGAAGTAGTGTGAAGATTCCTTTATTTGGAGTGGAGGGGTTCACACTGCAGAGTAGTGGGAGATAAAATTTTTAAAAGCATTTAGGGGTCAGATGGCAGTAGTAGACCAAATCAAATATTTTGTATTAAGTTTGCTCCTTTCTCACTGCCATGAGCATGGCTTCATTCATTAATAATAGCTGACATTTACATAATGCTTTAAGGTTTGCAAAGTACCTCACATACTATTATCTCATTTGAACTTCACAACAACCCTGTAGGGTAGGCACTACAGATTATTTCTACTGTCTTATAGATAAGGAAATAGTTTCACAGAAATCATGACTTGCTTAGGAGTCACGTAAGTACTATTTGGTAGAGGCAAGATTCAAATTCAGGTTTTGTTTTATTTTTTACTCCAAATCTAGCACTTTCCCACTATTTCACTGCTAATCACTCTTCTTCTTTTCTTCCATTTCTTCTTCCTCTTCCTCTTTCTTCTCCTTATCATTATCATCATCTTCTTCTTCTGCTGCTGCTGCTGCTTCTTTTGTCAATCCATATACTAAAGAAATAGAAGACGTGCTCCCCATAAGGAGCTTATTTTAGTCAGTGAGACAAATTCACCAATCATGCAGAGAAATGCAAGCTATCATGAGAAAATATGCAAGATGATATAATATCAACTATGTACGTAAAGGCCAAGGTGACAGGGAATAAAAGAAATCAGTATAAGATGAAGTTATTCTAGAAAAGTTTTTAGGGAAAGTCAATTTTGAGCTAGTATTTAAAGAATCTATGTGGCTATAAATTAACAGAATGGATGTGAAAGTGAACCTGTACAGGAGATAGCAAGGAAATTGGCTTGAATTTATTTTAATTCCTTCTGATAAACTATGTTAAGCATCAACTCTACTATGTTAAAAGAACTGTAGTAAAGATATAAACATCAAGAAAAACCCAATTCCTGCCCTTAAGGAGCCCTTAATCTAATAGAGAAGATAAAACTTGTAAGGAGATGTATGTGTGTATGTGTGTTTTCTGGCAAGATTGTACAAGAAGGGAATTAGGACAGAGCTTGAGAATTCCTCTGACTCCACTAGCCCTTTCTATCTTGCCTCAAGTTGATTTACATGGCACCCAGGGCATGAAGGGTGTTCAAAAGAACATTATCACTCAAGGACCACACAGCTTCTTTGTAGTTTTGCTAAATGGAGCATCTGGGGTGTTTTGAAAGGATGTAGACAAATTTCCAGGGGTATTGTTAAGAGATGAAAGGAATTTTCTGACCCTAGGTCACATAGGAAATAGGGGTCAGGAACCTGAGTATGACAAAAGGAAATGTAGCTTTAAGTACAGACTTAAAAATGCCCAAGGGCTTCCCTAACTGGCTGTGTATAGTTGGCTGGGGTCTATATCACAAAAGAGCTAAGGGCTAAAGTTGTAATGCAGAAAGCTGGTAGACCCCTCTGTCTGTTGGGAAGAAATTGCAGGGTATCTGCTATCCAGAAGATAGCAGCAGCTGCAATGATAAGCCAATATCCAGAAGAGGGAAATGTAGCAGAGAAAACAGAGCAGTGCAACCCGGCTAGGTGGAGAAATTAGCTTGTCTGATGATATCAATTGAAGGTGGTGGTGATTTTGTAGCATTGTAAGTATAAGTTACACACATGTGCCCTAGCCAAATATGTTCCCTTTCTCTGTTTCCCCATGCATGTTCTCTGATCATAAATGTTCCTTGCATATATCCTCATTGATGGTGTAATAACCAGTGGGAGAATATAACACGTGTATAGCGGTAAATAAGCTTGTAATTTGTTTTTCTGTGTCATTTGTGGGGTGGGGAGGAGAGAGACACTTTACTGATGGCTTTTGTTTTTATATTACAGTCATTTACAAATATACTGCCTGCCTCTACACATCAAGACTTCCCTTGTAATACAGAAAAAGAGTTAAGAAAACTGACATGGCAACCACATCTGACAGTGTATCCCATCCTGTACGATTATGTGTCTTTTGCTTTGAACTAATGTAGAAGCTATTTGGCCTGGTGGGGAAAAAGACATGTTCATAGGGACTCATGAGCTGTATACATTCTGACCTACATCTATAACATGTCTCAATACACAGGGGTTGTTTTTAGAGATGCATTTGTGAGAGTGACCCAATGGGTCTACAGAATACACAAACAAGAATAATATAAAACAACGTGAAAAGTATATTAAAGAGGTCTGGAAAAAGTGCCATGAGCCCCACCAAAATGGACATGGAGTTGGTCATTGCCCTTCATTCTTGAAGAGAACCCAGATGACATCACTGTGTTGGAGTCAAAGTACAGTGTGTCCAACCATGGCTGATCAGACCAATATGAATGCAAAGGCTCTACCAGAGGTCAGGTGCAAATAGAACACATGAACATTTGGAGTGGAGCTGTCTCTAAATGTGTACATCTCACATTTCTTTTGAGCTACTGAAATTCTGTTTCACCCATAGAGCACCGTGTCTTCTTTGATGCAGTCATACCACGCTGGGTGGTTCTTTGCCAGTGTCTCCCATGTCATGCAATTGATTGCAAAATTCTTCAGAGAGACTTTGAGAGTGTCCTTGTATTTCTTCTTCTAACCTCCATGTGAGCACTTGCCTTATGTGAGTATTCTATAAAATAGTCTTTTAGGCGAACATAGTTTTGGCATTTGAACAAAGTGGCCAGCCCATTGGAGTTGTGCTCTCTACAGTAGAGTTTGAATACTTGGCAGTTTAGCTCAAGAAAGGACCTCAGTGTCCAGTACCTTATCTTGCCAGATGATCTTCAGAATCTTCCTAAGACAATTCAAATGGATTTCAGTTTCCTGGCATGGTGCCGGGGCACTGTCCAGGTTTCATAGGCATACAACGATGAGGTAAGCACAACAGTTGTATAGATCTTCAGTTTGGTAGGCAGCTTGATAACTGTTCTATCCCACACTTTCCTTCAGAGCCTCCCAAACACTGAGCTAGCTCTGACAATGCATTTATTAACCTCATGATCCCTGAAAAGTATACTGCCAATGTAAGTGAACTCATCCACAGCATTCAAAATTTCTCCATTTGCTGTAACTGATGGTTCCACATATAGATGGTATGGTGCTGGCTGGTAAAGAACCTATTTTCTTGGTGTTGTCAGGCCAAAATTAGTACAAGCACTGGAGAGTGAATCAATACTCTGTTGTATCTCAGCCTCAGAGGCTGCATTGAGTGCACAGTCATCTGTGAACAAAAAGTCACACAACCAATTCTACCACCATGCTAGTCTTGATTTGTAGCCTTTTCAAGTTACATAATTTATTGTCAGTGAGGTAGCTGACCTTGATGCCATTTTTGTCCTCGTTGAAGGCATCCAGCAACCCATTCTTCTGGGGGGAGTCTTCACATATTTGGAGTAGACACCCCCTAACTCACCGAAGGGTTCGACACTACTTGGTTACCATCAGCCTGGTTCAGCCAGTTTGCCAAAATGGTTTACCAGGGTGTGGCAGTTTGAATGCTATAGCTTCTTGGTGCCACAGGGGAGAACTGGGTAAATCAGGAAGATGCCAGAGGTAGAAAGCAGCCCTGAAAAAGGTTCAGCACCCCTCATACTAGAGGTACTAGACTTGTCTGCACACACCCTATACCCCAGACACGGAGTAAAGGTAGGAAGAAAGAACAGTATCAAAGAAACTAAGAGATATTATCAAAAGGGGGGGGGCATTGGTTTCAGAAGCTACAGAGAATACAAGAATGATAAAAAATTGAGGAAAGGCTCTTAGAGTTGGCAATTAACACTTAGTAGCTGTGTGACCCTGGACAAGTCACTTAACCCTATGTACCTTGGTTCTTGATCCATAAAATGAATTGGAGAAGGAAATGGCAAATCACTCTAGTATCTTTGCCAAAAAACTCCAAATAGGATCACAAAGAGTTAAACATGATTGAAACAACTGAACAGCAGCAATTAAGAGGTCATTGGTAACCTCTGAAAAAGTAGTTTATTTAAAGTGGTGGGCTCAGAAGCTAGACTGAAAGAAGTTGAGGCTTTCATATGGAAGAGGAACTCAGTTTCCTCAAGTGCAAAATGAGAACAATGCTTCCTTTACCTACTTTACAGGATTGTTGTGCAGTTAAAAGGAAGGAAAGAGCTGGAATTTTAAAATCACAGGGTATGTGTATAAATCTGGGCTCTATCACTGACCAACTGTGTCACTTGAGCACTTCACTCTAGCTCTAACATCCTGTGAAATTAAATAAATTAAATTATATATATATAATATATATATGCATATACATACATACACATATACATATACACATACATATTTTATATAGCTTGTATGTGTGTGTTGGTGCTTTGAAAGTTGTGAAGTACTACAAATGTAAGGTAAAAATACCTCTTAATTGTAGGGTGTTATTATTATTACCTAAGCATACTATCATTCTGAATGTATTTACTACTATGAACTAAAAATTTTTGGAAGTGCCATCAAGTTGATATGCCATGTTCAGCTGTTTCAGTTGTGTCTACCTCTTTGTGACCCCTTTTGGGGTTTTCTTGACAAAGATAATGGAGTGGTTTGCCATTTCCTTCTCCAGCTCATTTTACAGATAAGAAACTGAGGCAAACAGGCTTGAGTGACTTGTCCAGGGTCACACAGCTAGTAAGTATCTGAGGTGGGATTTGAACTCAGATTTTCCTGACTCCAGGTATGATGCTCTATCCACTATACCCCCTCGCTGCCCTGATACACACTATGACTCTACTTAAAAGAATTCTCTTTGAAATGCAAATTAAAACAACTCTGAGGTACCACTTCATACCTTTAGATTAGCTAGTATGACAAAGAATGAGAATGTTGGATGTTGGAGGTGATGTGGGAAAACTGGGACACGAATGCACTGTTGTGAACTGATCCAACTGTTCTGGAAAGCAATTTGGAACTATGCCCAAAGAGCTATAAAACTCTGCATACCTTTTGATCCAGCAATACCACTGCTAGGTTTATATCCTGAAGATAAGCAAAAAAAAAAAAAAGGCAGGGGTGGGGCAGAGAATGACCTATTTGTACACAAATATTTATAGCAGCTTTTTTTTGTGGTGGCTAAGAATTGGAAATCAAGGGGATGCCCATCAATCGGAGAATGGCTAAACAAGTTGTGGTATATGTGGTAATGCAATATTGTTGTGCTTTAAGAAACGACAAGCAGGATGATTTCAGAAAAACCTGGAAAGACATACATGAACTGATGCATAGTGAAGTGAACAGAAGCAGGAGAACATTGTACACAGTAACAGCAATTGTTTGATAAAGAATTGTGAATGACTTACCTATTCACTTAGCTACGAGCCAAGACAATCCCAAAGGACTAATGATGAAGCATAATATCCACCTTCAGAGAAAGAACTAATATGAATTGAATACAGACTGAAGCATGCTATTTTTCACTTTCTTTCTTTCAATTTTAGTCTTCTTGTATAAAATGACTAATATGGAAATGTTTTACATAATTGCACATGTATAACTTGCATCTGCTTGCTTAACCATTTCAGGGAAGTGAGACGGGAGGAATTGAGTTTGGAACTCAAAACTTTAAATAAAAATGTTTAAAAATTGGGAAAAAAGAATTCTCTTCCTTCACTACAATCAATCAATCAATCAATTAAAAATGACTGAATAAATAAAGTAACAATAAAGTTTAACAAATCTATGCTATTGGCACAGACTCAGTGCTGCCTCAGGCCTATCTAAATATTTAACTAGGGACAGGAACCATATATGAATTGATATTGATAGGATGCCTACTCCTTGCCAAAGAATGCAGAAAACTACCATGATCTCTTTTACATGACTGGATGGGATCAAATTACAGTCCTTTTCAGGGAAGACCCGGGGGTACTTTGGGGTAATTGGTCATCTACACAAGTAGCTGATTCATGTGAATGATAGCCAGGGTGTCATCCTGGACTCCTCACTCTCACTCCCCCCCCCCCGCATGTCCGTTCTTTTCTTAAATCTTGTTCTCTCTGCCTTCACAAACATCTGTCCTATATAATGTCTCTTCTAACCACTTACACAGTCCACTTTCACCTCCTCTTGCTTTGGCTACTTCAATATCCTACTAAGCCTCAGGTCTCTCCCCACTCCAATCCATCTCCCACTTAGCTGCCAAAGTAACTTTCCTGAAGTGTAGGTCTGCCCATGTCATCTCCCTACTCAATAACTTCCATTAGCTTCCTGTTACTTCTAAGATCAAACATAAAGTCCTTTGTTTGGCATTTACAGCTCTTCATTAATTCCTCCCCTTTCTACTTTTCCAGTCTTCTTACATTTTACTCCCCTCCATGCATTGTACGAGCCAGCTTTTCTGTCCTATCGTTGCTCTTTACACAACACTCCATCTCTAGACTGTGGACCTTTGTATTGGCTGTCCCCCATGTCCTGAATACTCTTCTCTCCTGAATGTTCTTTCTCCTCACCTCTGCTTCTTTGTTTTCCTTCAAGGAAGAAAACAAATATTTATTAATTGCCTACTATGTGCAAAGTGCTTTAAAAATATTATTTCACTTGATCCTCACAATAACTCTGGGAGGCAAGCCTTATTATGATTCCTATTTTACACCTGGGGAAACTGAGACAGAGAGCTGCCTGAATCCATGTTTGAACCCCTCTTCCTAATTCCCGGCCGAGTGATCTTTCCATTATGGCATCTGGAGGAATCATTCAAGTCTCAGCTTCAATCTCATGTGCTTCAGGAGGTCTTTTTGATTTTGCCCATCTGCTAGTATCTACCTCTCTAATATTACCTTCCAGCCACTCTCTCTATGTCTTGCATTTACCTGGTTACTTAGATATCTTTCCTTCCATGAGAATTTGAGTAGGAACGATTTTTGCTTTATCTTTGTAAACCCAGTGTGAGTTCAGTGCCAGGATGTAAGTACTCATGTGCTCAAACGGATCTGTGATCTTACTGACTTGGAAGTTTCCTCCAAGGATTCAGATTGCGACCCATCTTTGCCTGCCCATGCTATGCAACAACGCTTTTCACCATCCTCCCAAAGATCCACCAGAAAGGGTCCACCCAATGTGATGAAAGATTCCCTCCCTTTCTCTTGATGCTCAGAAGATAGTAGTAGAGCATTCTGACAATCTACCTGTCTTCACTAGTGCTCTCTGTGTAGTCAACCCATCTTTTCTTTCTATCAATCAGGAACTTGATGACTTCCTTTATACCTTTTCTTCAGAGTTCCTTCTTGGCTGTGTGCTGCAGCTTACTCACATCTACCATGTGCACTTCCATTGCACTCTGTATACTGCCTAACTTTACTTCTGCAGAGGCAGTTGTATTCTAGATCCTCCAACAGGAATATACAGAGGACCTCATGATCCACATGGAATCCTTCTTTGACCTGAAGTCTGCAGGATCTCCCCCATCACAACAGTAAATACTTTTTATGAGCATATGTATCTCACTGTTTCATGACTTCTCTGATTGTTATCAGAGAGTCATTGAATAGAGTTATTTCTGTTATATCTTCTAAAGGAATTCTGAATTATCTTGATATATGTATGGAAAACATCTTG